TTTCATATATGCATGCACTATACCTTGAAAAATTCACCTCTCCATTATATTTCCATTCCCCCCTTCCTCCTTTCCTGCCTTTTAGTCTCTTGTTCTTAGACAGATTATGTAGCTTCTCTGAACTGATACCATTTTGTTTGAATCAGTGATGTTTTCTTGTCTGCCTTCATGACTAGATTGTTAGAAGAATTTATTAAGAATTAAGAAATTATTAAGCATTTTGTAAGCTGGAAAGTATTATACGTTATTCATTAAGCTGAATTTAAGTGCCTTTTATGTGCTAGATACTAAAAACTGGGTTAACTTTGATTCCTAAAATGGTAGGACTCATCCATCCCTGGTATGGATGGCTTAGAAGCTTATGGTCAACCTTTTAATCCCTAATCTTACTTTGGGGGTGGAGGGACACGACACAGATGACCGTGTATTCAGTCAGTGAATAGCTAGTTTTTTTAACAGCATTTGACATAGCCTACCACTTCATTCTCCTTTTTTTGTCTTTTTCTTTTTTTTTAATATATTTTTCTTATCATTATTGTTACACTGGGGGTACATTGTGACATTTATCAAAGTGCTTAGAATATTCTTAGTTAAATTCACCCCCTCCATCATCTCCTTTATCTCCCTCTTCCCCTATTCTTAGAATAGTTTCAACAGGTCTCATTTTCCCATTTTCATACATAATATTTCCACCATATTCGCTCTTCTGAACCCTGTCCTTATATCCTCTCCCTTCCCACTGGATGAACCCACAGATAGGATGGACCTGTTTTACCTTCCCATCCTCCATTTTTGAGAAAAGACATTTTTGTTTGTTTAAGATAGCCGTACAGGGCGTTTCATTATGACAGTTCCATATATATATGACATTTCTCATATATATATTTGGGATTATTATATATTGCATATATAATATATATGTTGCATATATGTGTCTATATAATATACATGTATATATAGAATATAACAATCCCAAATTGTTAACCCTGAATCTTAAGGCTCATTTGAGTTGAACCATTAAACTATACATTTACTTGTGAAGGAACAGAAAAAGAACTAAAGAATATGCATAAAATTCCTTGGGGAATGAGCCTATAAGGTGAAATGTAATTACAGATTATGTGCTGTTTTTGGAATGAACAAGTGCTTTTTTTGTTATACACACATACTCTTTGCAACACCTATTCTACTTTTATACATTTGAATTTGACACAAGCTATGGTTATAAGTAGACTGATACCTGAGTGACTCCAATAAGCTTTTACAACAGATGTTTGATGTTTTTTAGTTTTATTTTCTGATACTGCAGAGTGGTTCTTGAGTTTATTGAACTGCTTCATTTCTTAGATGTAGAAACAGACCCAAAGCAGTTAACTAGTGTAAAGTCACATGACTTTTGTTATTGTTGTTGTTGTTGTTGTTGTTGCACTGGAGTTTGAATTTGGCCTATACCTTGAGCCACTCCACCAGCCCTTTTTTGTGATAGGTTTTTCTTTGAGATAAGGTCTCATAAAGTATTTTGCTGGACTGGCTTTGAACCACAGTCCTCCTGATCTATAACTCCTGAGTAGCTAGGATTACAGGCACGAGCCACTGGCGCTTGGCTTATTCATTCTTTTCTTTTTTGGGCAGGGGGGAGGGACAGCATTGAGGTTTGAACTCGGGCTTCATACTTGCTAAGCAAGCACTCTTACCACTTGAGCCACTCCACCTGCACTCCACGCAGGCATTAGCAGTGACTTCTGCCACTTTAAGAGAAACAAAAGTGAGAGGAATACTGGACAAGAAAAACTCTTCTTCAAGAGTTTTTTTTCTCAGCCAGACATTGTGGCTCACATATACATAGTACATCACCATGTCGCTGCCTATAATCCCAGCAGCATTTGGGAGGCTGAGGCAGGCAGAAAGATTGAGTTTGAGGCCAGCCTGGGATACATGGTGAGTTTACAATGTTTTGACCGCTTCTGCTTTGTTTGTTTGTTTTTGTTTTATTTTTTGTGTATAGTGCAGTTGAGCTGGGGGTGGGGGCGGGCTGAACTCAGGTGGATTTTGGCAATTGCTAGGCAGGCACGGTAACACTTGAGCCATTGCTATCACTTTTGAACTGTATTTTAGTGGATGTAGAATTATAAGCCTGGGCACTGTTTTCTTTTAATACTTAAAAAATGCTGTCCCATGTTCATTTTTACTGTTGATAAGCCATCTCTCAGTCTTCTAGAGGTCACAGAAAGTAAAGTAATTTCCACCATTATCTTTGTCTTTTTTGAGTACTGTGTATTTTATACCTTAGTGTGGGTTTGGGGGTTTTTTTGGCAGGGGGAGTGCTGGGATTTGAGCTCAGGGTCTACATCTTGAGCCACTTCCGAGATAGGGTCTCATGAACTATTTGCTGGCTGGCTTTGAACCACAATCCTCCTGATTTCTGCTTCCTGAGTAGCTAGGATTGCAGGCATAAGCCACCGGCTCCCAGTTGTTTTGTTTTGAAAGTGGATCTCTCTATATATAGCCCACGCTGGCCTTGAATTCCTCAAACTCAGGTCCTCTTACTTTAACCTCTCCTATGCTGGGATGTGCGTCACCATGCTCTGCTCTGTTTTTGTTTGTTTGTTTGTCTTTAGAATTGAGATCCTTGTTTCTCTGAATGGATTTGGTATGTATGGTCTGTGCCATTTTTGGGTCTGCTTTTTTATCAAGCACCAGATATGTAGAAAAATGCTCCCAGTAATGATTAAGTACTCTGTATATACAGTTCCACTTTCCTCTGTGGTGTAAATAGACTTGAGAAGGAAACATAAGTGAATTAAAACTCATATCAACTTTGGTGAGCTGTGTACTTCTAGATCACCCCTGTTGCACCAGTGTGACTTGGTACTTTCAGTTGAGACCTGACCTGACATTCTTACTTTCATCAGTGAAGAGATCACTGGACCTTCTGTTCTTCCATAATCCTAACTCCTTTTCCTCCTGCCTTATGCATACTCAGAATTAGCCAGGTCATATCCAGCTTTGTGTTTAAAGTCCTAAAAGTGTCCACTAATCAACATGAGCTGTATCATGAGTTACTCATTTTGATACACATCTCCTCAGATACATGATTTGCACATATTTCCTCAGTCTGTGGGCTATATAGATTATATAGAGAGAGATAAGTATTTTTTCTCCTTTTTGTGTTACTGGGAATTGAACCCAGGGCCTCCCGCATGCTAATGTGAGCCTTTTACCACTAAGCTACGCCTTCAGCTATATGTTTTCTTAATGATACAAATAAGACATTTTTCTTTTGTTTTTGGTGCTGAGGGCCTTGAACGTTTCAAGCACATGTGCTACCTCAAAACTACACCCCTAGTCTTGATACAGATGTTTTTAATTTTGATGAAGTCCAGCTTGCTCAGTCTTGTATCACTTATGCTTTTAGTGTCAGATCCAAGAAATTCTTTATTCAACCTAAGATCATTTAGATTTCCTCTTTTATTTTAGGAATTATTTTTATTGTAAATTCTTAATACTGAGATCTGTGGTCCATAGAATTAATTTGTGTATATGGTGCAAGTTAGGAATACAAATTTGTTTTTTTTGCATTTAGATAGTCAGTTGCTCCAGGACCATTTTTTGACCCATCCTCAACCCACTTTTAAATTTCATTATGGTAGTATTGGGGTATAGTGGCGGGGGGAGGGTGTATGTGTGTTGTGCACAGACAAAATAGCATAATGAATTTCTGTGAACTCATCATCCACCTTCACTTAGACATTGCCATTCCTGTTTTGTTTGTTCCTATTTGGATTAAATACCTTGCTATGTCCCCTTAAGAACTCATTCTTAAGAACTTCATTCTTAGGTTGAGTGTATTATTTTTGGATCTCATGGCCTCTATATGTTGTTCTTATATTTTCCTATGTTAGCTTCAATACGTTCTTCATTAACACATGCAGCAAGTAAACTTTTTTTTTTTTTTTTGTAATATGGGGTGTGAACTTAGGACCTCATGCTGTCTAGGCAGGCATTCTACCACTTGCGCATGCCTCCAACCCTTTTCCCTTTTTGCTTTAGTTCTTTTTTGAATAATGTCTCCTATTTATGCCAAAGCCTGCCTGGGTCGAGATCCTCCTATTTTTAGCTTCTCAGATAGCTGAGATGACAGGCATATACCATCATGCCCCACCTTTTATTGGTTAAGATGGGGACTCATGAATTTTTGCCTTAGCTGGCCTCAAATCTTGATCCTTCTGATTTCTGCCTTCCCAGTAGCTTGGATTACTGGCTTGAACCACCACATCTGGCGAGGAAGTAAACTTTTTGTGTAGTTGATTTCAGAAATGTCTTTATACTCTCATGTACATGTACATGAAATCTTAGTTTGAAATTAATTATCCCTCAGAATTGGGAAAGCATTTTACTGCTTGAGCCACTCAGCCAGCCCGCCTTTAATCCTTTAAAAGCAGTTTTCTCTATAAGGACTAGAAATTCAGGAAGTTGTTTTTTGTTGTTGTTTATCTTGTTTGTTTTTGCAGTACTGGGTTTGAACTCAGGGCATTGAGCTTGCTAGGAAGATGTTCTGCCACTTGAGCCACACCTCCAGCTCTTTTTTGTTTTGTTTCGTTTTGTTTTTAATAATTTCTTTTTCTGGCATATTTTATCTATTAACTTTTATTTTTTTAATGTTTCATTTCCTTCAATAATACTACTACAGTGATTCTTTAGACTCTGTGTGTGGGTGGGTGTGTTGGTTTTTTGTTTTGTTTTGTTTTGTTTTGTTTTTTGGTGGTACTGGGGTTTGAACTTATGTTTTCAAGCTTGCTAGTCAAGCACCCTGCTACATGAGCCAAGCCTCCAGCCCTGACAGTTGTTATTTTTAATGGAAATAAATGTTTGGTACAAACACACAAAGTGGACATCTCAGGCAAGTTGTTAATTATGTATTTCCCACTTTGAATACCAACTTCAGTATACTCTTAAGTTTTTTAAGTAGTTACTTAAATAATTTTATATTTTACCCTTAGCATCTGGCTGCCGTGGAGGAGAGAAAGATCAAGTCCCTAGTAGCTCTCCTGGTTGAGACACAAATGAAGAAACTAGAGATCAAACTTCGACATTTTGAAGAACTGGAAACTATCATGGACAGAGAGAAAGAAGCTGTAAGTAAAGGGAATTCTATAGTGGTGTTTTGACAATCCCTGACCACTTTTCAAAAATACAAATTAGGTAGAATAAATGCTGGCCTAATCTTTTGGTCTATGTAATAGTTCTTCTGTCATTCTGTCTGACTTATTCTTCCCAAAGGTTATTAGCCATTAATTATAACTGGCTAAAATGAAGTATTCTGTATTTTGGTTTCTTCAGCGCTTATATTCTTTGGCCTTTTACTAAAACTAAGTATTCTAAATCTCAGCTTCTTGTACCACTTGGCTATGCAGCTATATGACATTAAACTATTCTCTCTACAAAAGTTGAATCTTAGATTCATTACCTACTTGTTTCCAACAAAGTAGTATTAATATTTTATCTCATTCAGGGATTTTCTTGATTTCCCCTTATCTTCAGTATAAAAGTTTGAAAATAGAAAGTAATCTCATCTTGAGTTAAGAGCCTAGTTTTCTATGAGCCTAGTTTTCAGCTTCAGATCTGAGCTTGGACTTTCTCCTCCCTTCTTTCCTTCTCTGTGTTGAATAGTAGCTGGAATTAGGACTATGCTGATCCTCATAAAGCAGCATTCTCTGAAGCATAAACTTTTTTGATAATGCAGGACATGGCCCAAACAGGACCAAGAACATGGCTAAAAATGAGAAAGAATATCATGCAAAGTAAGAAATTTAGAAACAGAAGAACATTTGCTTTTCTCACAAGAATGTTTGGAGAAACAGGGATTAAGCTCTTAGGGGAATTTTTTTTTTTTTTTTTTTTTTTTTTGCTTTGTTTTGCTTGTTTTTATTGTGGTTTTTGGTAGTGTTGGGAATTGAACCCAGGGCCTCATGGTTACAAGAAAAGACTGAACTACACCCCAGCTTTTTTTTGGATTATGTAGTCTTCCTTTATTGCCCAGACTACTCCTGAATTTCTGGCCTCAAGTAATCCTCCTATCTTAGCCTCCTGAGTATCTGGGACTATAGTCAAGCACCACTACACTTGACTTCAACTTAATGTTGAATTTTAATTAGAACACACAAAACATTTTATAAGGTAGTCTCTGAATAAAACAGCACAGCTAAAATGGGAAAATGCCAGTTCTGTCCAATGCACAAGGCTGAATTCTTTGGTGGTTGGCTGGCCTTTTCTTAATTAGCATTTGATATCTGCTATATTTATAGCAAGAATATTTGTCCAGGGCAGTCCCTTGTACTGCCCAATGAATGTCAACAGCTCAGCTGTATGAATTACTTACTACTATATAAAAAGTTTTCCCAGCCAGGCACAGTGGCTCATGCCTGTAATCCCAGCTACTTGGGAGTCAGAGATCTAGAAGATTGTTTAAGGCCAGCCTGGGCAAATACTTACCAAAACACTATTTTAATATGACAAACTAAGTCTGTTGTCCTAGCTACTAGTTATAGGTAGGAAGATCAGGGTCTGAGGCCAGCACCAGACAAAAATCAAGATTTGGGTTATTTTTCAAGTAGAAAGGGTTGGAGATATGGCTTAAGTGGTAAAGTTCTCATCTAGCAAACATAAGGCCCTGAGCTCAAACTCTAGTGCCACCAAAAAATAAAAATTTTTAAAAGTTACCACAAAAGTTTAGTGACTAAAAAGGCATTTATTATCTCACATGGATTCTGAATAATTCAAAAGAACAAAAGTGTGAAGAAGCATCCATAAGGGAAACCACAATGTCTTTGGACAGATACTATCACTTCTCTTGTGTACTCTCAATCACATGGGCCAAGCCTGACTCTAGAGGTAGGGAATCAGGGTTCACAGCAAATGGTGCACATGTTAGGAAGCTGGACTGTTGGAGGCCAGCTTAGAGATTGGCTCTTGCCACAATGAAAATGGGTCATTTGAACTCAAAGTGTCACCTGTTCATTTTATGCACAATTAAGACCTCTGTTTTTCTCCACCCCTGCACTAGCATCCTGTGCTTTGCTTTGGCAAGCAAAGTCATGACTGTTTTTCCTACATATGATTTCTGCACAGAAATGTTGTAAAGATTACATCAAAAACGTATGGCATGTGCCAGGCATAGTGTCTAGCACATAATTAATGTTTGATAAATATATGCCCTCCTTTATGCTAAAATATATTCAATTATGTATGAAATTTTTAGTATTTATATGCTGTTGCTGGCTTTGTGAACACTTATGTGGTCAGTCACTGTGCTAAGACACTGTACAGATATTACGGTTTTGTCTCCTCCTTATGAGGAAACTATCAACAAGAAAATACTGATTACTTTCATTCTCCTTGTTTAAGAATCCAGCAGGGGTGCTGGATGTCAATATAGATCATTCCTTTGTTAGCCCTTCTTACAGACAAGACTGGAGCTTATACAGGTAAGTTAATGAGCCTCTGGCGCACAGCTCCTAAATGACAGAGCCGAGTGTCAAACTCATGTTTGCTCAGCTCTTAGTACTTTAGAATTTATAAATAAATGAGCCATTGTTACCTCATTTTTTTTTCATTTTTATTAGCATACATTCATTGTACAGGGGGGATTTGTTGTAAACAATTCTGAATAGCCTTACATTAGATCGCCCCCTCCATTCTCCGACCCCCACCACCTCCTTCCCATCTCAGTTAATGCAATAGTGAAGAGGAAGAGATATCAAATACTGAATTCCAAAAAATAATAGTAAGAATGATTAATGAGCTCAAAGAAAAGACTCAAAGCCACTGACTGAACTTAAAGAGGACATGAATAAATAACTAAAAGAGCTCAAAGAGAATTCATACAAACATAAATGAAGAAGACCATGCAGAATAGGAAAGAGGAAATCAATAAAGATACACAAATCCAGAAAAATAACCAGTTTGAAATGAACAGCTCAATATCCCAAATAAAAATTTCAATCAAAAACTTAGCAGAGTTGAGCAAGTTTAGATAATAGAGTATAAGGAACAGAAGACAAAGTAGAGAAATTGGATCAAACAGTTGTTATCTCATCTTAACCTAGAGATTCTGCATTGTACCGAGTTCTGTCATTCTACTTTTATAAATCAAGAGAGCTAATACTGTAGAAAGTGAGAGATGAGCTGGTCTTTGAGCCTCCTAGTTCACCACCTGGTTCTCTTAAGCCTGCCATACTGCCTTGGTTCACTTCAGAGTATACTCCTGTTACCTTTAAGGGAAATTTTTTCTTTTAATTATACAATTGGTTTTATTTAAATTGCAATGTTTTTAAAATATTTTTTATTTTCAGAACTAGATACAAAGTTTCTTTTTTCCCCCCTCTAGTTACTGAAAATTAGAGGGTTTTTTTTGAGTCTTAAGTATTTAGTAATTAAGAATATGGTTGTAAAACTCTTAAATCTTTCATAGGTATCATGAGTTCAGCCATAATTAGTGCTCAGTAGCTATTATCTCAGTGTTGTCAATATAGGGCTATTAGGGAATTCACAGCATCTGTCAGAGAGATGGCATGACAGAATTATCAATGGTAGTTCAGGGGAGGATGCCAAACTGGCAGGAAAGTCTGCTGAACTGAGTAGCCATTGGTGCCAGGCACATGGCACACACAGCAGTCAGATCGGGTTTCAGATGTGGGCTGTTCAGAGGACTAGAGCTATCTGGAAAGAACTTGAGTACCTGGACCATGCCTGATTGGGTATTCACAACTGAATATTTTAAAAAGAAATATTTTGAAACTGGGCGCCAGTGGTTCACACCTGTAATCCTAACTACTTAGGAGGCAGGGATCAGGAGGATCACGGTTCAAAGCCAAGCTGGGCAAATAGTTCGTGAGACCCTATCTCAAAAAAACCCATCACAAAAAAGGGCTGGTGGAGTGGCTCAAGGTATAGGCCAATTCAAACCCCAGTACCACAAAAGAAAAAAAACCCACTTTGAAAGTCAGTCATCAGTGGCTTTTTGCCTGTAATCCTAGCTAGTTGGGAGGCTAAGATTAGAAGGATCGCAGTCCAGGCCAACCTGGGCAAAAGGTGAGACCCTATCTCCAAAATAACCAAAGCAAAAAGGTTTAGAGGTGTGTCTTAAGTAGTAGAGTCCTGAGTTCAAACCCCAGAACCATTTAAAAAAAACTTTTGTGGCTGGTGTTTTAGCTTGTGGACTTAAGTGTTTTCTGAGTCTCTGAAGTTCTCCTGGCTAAAAATTGAAATGTGTTTCTACAGAAAAGAAAGACATTGGAGAAAAACTAAGCTGTAAGAAGCCCAGTCCCTATGCTTCAAGAAGTTAGGCATTGACACATTAAGGGATCAAATTCTATAAGATAAGAGAGCTGTGAAAATTCAGAGAAGGAGGTTGTTATGGCAGTTCAGATTATCAAGGAAAGCTTTCTGGAGGAGGAGGGATTGATCTGATTCTGTGAATGACCCAAATCCTGAAATACAAATAGAAAATCATGATTGCTTAGAAAACTGTAGTCAGCTTGCCCTTGATGGCTTTTGCAGTAGAGATGACAGGTTAAGTCATATGTTCCTTCATTGGATATTTATACTCCAAGATGGTTAGGTACTCAGGATACTGTTGTGTATAAAACCCATCAAACCTTCTCTGCCTTGGTGGAGCTTAAATAATTAGAAATAATGAACAGGTTAAGGAAGTTACGAGGTGCCGTGTGCTTTGCGTACCTATGAGAATGTTATGGGCTGGGTCAAGGGAGATTAGAAATGGCAGAGGAGGGATTTCAGTTTGAACTGATATCACCAATTTAGTCCTTATTAAAATCTTGACAGTTGATAGGCAAGAGCTGGGAATGGTTGTTGTAGAGGACTTAGGTGGGACCATGACTGACATGTTAGGGAACTAGGGAGTAATAGAATGACCTGGAGCAAAAATGAATCATGGGAGTTCAGAAGATAAAGTCAGAGGGAGAATGCCAGATTCCTTTAAGCCACCCAGAGGACTTTTACTTCATTCTGATAGAAATGTGGGTTCCAGGGTGTAGCTCAGTGGTAGAGCCTGTTCTTAGTAAGTCCCTGGATTTGATCCACTAGCACAAAACTAAAACCTTCTTTGGGGGTGGGG